GGGCTGCCTCCCGGCTGGTCGTGGGAAAAACGGTGCTATGTTGCCCCAATCTTAGTCCCGATCAAAGGGCCGGTGCACACGTGCGCCGGTCCGATTGCGCGCTCCAGTGCAACGCGGTTACGGTGAAACCTAGGAGAACTGTACTAGTAAGTCGTTCTTGATTTTTCTGTAATGGACATATTATGCAAAAAAATTCTGAAAATGAATTTTGATATCAAAATTAAACTGTCTCAAAATTTACCATACTGAAGAAAAATCAAGAGAATAATTGTTAGCAATTGTATAGTACAATAGTATAATGAGAACTGAGAAATAATAAATTTACTAGGTTGAAATGACCTTCGTTGCGATTGCTACTCAGTTACTGAGAAATATGAATACCTTCAGAGCATTCTTCATGATGGGATATCTGATACCGTGGAATATCAATACAATGAGCATTTTCTCTCTAACCCTACAACTTCTGGAAAACGGCGAATATACTCATCCGGGATATCAGGTTTCTTTCTATTTATCATAAACTTACTGTTTACTTGATTACTAGAAAAGTTTTGCCCATTCCTTAAGAAGAAAAACGCTGATTACACCCAATTGTTCTTTGCTATCGGCAAACAAGGTTTATAACAAACACAAACCGTTCCAAGCCTGGCGACTGTTTTCCTCTACAGTTCAGTATGTTACTAAGAAAAACCAGAGCTACAGAATAAATCCGTGGTTCATTTGACTTACCTAAACCTTGGTCGGGTTCAGCCGCGTTAGCGTCGTCACCGAGGAGAGATATGACCGCGATGTGGCTATCAGAGGATGGATGTAAGAAGTTTCTAAAAAAATCTACGTCATCAACTGGGATGATATCAGCAGAGGACGGGTTGATTACGTGGGCGCAATGTGGCTCGGGGGGGGGGGGGGGCACCTCGCAACATCGCGTCAAAATCACGGAAACGCTCCGTTTTAGGACTAAGCTTTTGAAGAGGAGAGGAACTCCGGTGTACGGAAGCAATTTTCGTATTCTCCGGAGTTCGTCCCTGCTGTTTAGGCTTAGTCCTAGATGACTTTTCTCAGAGTGCCCCCTCCCGAGCCACATTGCGCCGATTACGTGATATTATCGACTTCTGAATTCGTCATGATATTTACACATTTTATTTCAACAACCCATTGAGAAATGTTGAAGAAATGATGCTATTGATTAGTCACCCGGTGGCGTTTTTCCCACACAGGCAGCCCCAGCCGGTCACTGCATACCTCCCAAAACAGTCGAGAGGAGGGTGGGGTGGAGGGGGGAGAGTAAGTTGGGAGGCTACCCATGCACACGATCAGAAACTGCAGGCTTTCTCATATTACAGTACTTTTCAGTGACTGCAGTGAAATACCATAATACAGGGTTACGTAGTCAAAAAAAACTCGGTTTCTTTCTTAATTTGATATTTCAAGCTCCTGAACCCCTTTTTGGCATTTTTTTCGATAGTTTTGATAGAGGAACTTTATGTATGGGATTGGTTTAAGGAAGGGGCGGAGCTATCCGGACCAATAATGAATGTGGGCGGGGCAAGAACATGCTCATGGCATTTGTGAATGCGATTGGTCATCAAAGAGTGTAGGTCCTAGACTAGGTCCTATTTGCTTGAGTACGAATTACTGATAGAAGTCAGTAGACAAAAACAACAAAGAAGATGAGCATAAATATAGGCCTAAAATTCCTCAATGACTTCGAACCATACCAGCAATTTTAAGCAAGTATTCTCGAAAGTCAATGAGGTAAATAAATGAAGAAAAACTTGGAAATATTCCAGATGGACGACATTATTGCTTTAATCCGCTGGTCATTGTCAGTAAGAAGGAAATGCGTGATTCGAGCGATACCCGTAGCTACTCTTAGTGGGCCAACAAGTGGTATGTTACTTAAATGAAAAAAAGAAACTTCGAGAGATTTCGAAATCAATAATTTTAGGGAAAAACTATGTCGACGAATGGTACGAATGGGCGCGCCAGATCAGGCGATGGACGATCGGAGCCGCCGAGGTTGTGATCTTTGACTGGGCCCAAACGCAAAATGGGTTGTTTTGAATAATTGTAATATTTCTGAGTTCAGGTGTTCCACTACTTCGTCATCAAGTTTTTCCAACTTCCGGCAATGGTTTCCTTTTCATTCGCAGCGAAATTCGTCTTCTACTATGGATTCCTACTCTGTATCGCGTCCGTGTACACAATTGTGGCCCCTTTAGTGGTGAGTATTCATATGTTTACCTGTGGAAACTTATTACATAATTCCAGTACGTTGTAAATAAGCAAATGTGTTGTAGAGGAAAGTGGCGCCGGTACCACACCAGGTCTGGTACAGGATCAAACGTCGCGTTTGGGGTACCCGACAGGAGGCCCGTCGCGCGGCAAGAAGGCAGAGTCAGCGGACGAGTCGCAGCGCGTACTGTAGTGATTTCGCGTCAAGTTAAATAGAATGTACCATTGTACGTCCTACATCGCACATCACGCGCTGCGACTCGTCCGCTGACTCTGCCTTCTTGCCGCGCGACGGGCCTCCTGTCGGGTACCCTCGCGTTTGCGCTTTCCAAAAATTTTATAACTACTCTCCGCTCCTCCAGCAATACGGCCCTTCATTCGATAGTTCGAACGGACAGTTGACCCTAGTACGGTGGTCTGATCCCGCATTGAGTGTTACCTGAGCAACCGAATTTTGCATCTATCGAATCAGTTGATTGATGCCAGTACATTCGGAAGGAAAAAGAAATAGCTTGTACATGGGTCAGCCGCGGGAGTCATTTTATTGGACACATCGCATTCAAATGCCATTACGAATGTGATGGGAGGGAGGATGCCTGGCGTACCCCAGAAAGGAGTTAGACAGTGCCGGAAGTTTTTTCTCTAGTTATGTCATGATTATTGTGGTGAACAATAGTTCGCGGACGTCGGTAGGTTCGAAAGCTATGGAAACAATCGATACCTATGTTTTACATTGCGTTTTTCACTTCCCAAGAGACTGCCAAGTTTGCTATGAAATTTACTCTTTATTAAAGTAAGTAAAATTTAGACACCTGCGATGCTCTCGGCTGTCAATCACGGTGTTTGGGGGCTGGTCATACCGTCACAGAATGTCTTCACATGGATTATGCTAGGATTCCTTGGATTGCAATATTTCTGGTTTTTCTGTGTATTTCTTGTCAGCTACCTGTGTCAACCAGTAAGTCCAATCAATCAATAATCGTTCACAAAGTGGACGGATCGAGGCACGTAAACCCGATTTTTAGGTGTTCCCGGGCGGAACGAAGGACAAAACAGGAATCATTCGTAACATTTTTCATTTGATAATGACATGGCCAACAATCACCATGTACTGTATCGTCGAGTTGGTGGCTTTCCTGGAGGTGAGGGCTTCGTTTTGATTTATTGATTTTTTTCCTCGACTGTGGGTGAATATGGTCAGAATAGAAGTTCAGACACGAAATTCTGTGAAACTTTATATGCTCCAGAATGCACATAGTTTAACCCAAAATTCATGATAGGCCTCCACGAACTCTAAAATAAATTTTGTGGAAGAACCGTCTGAAATCGATTGTAAATTCATTGCCAGGTGACGGTACGAGGGAAATCTGTCTGCTCTCACAATGCCTCCAAAAAGGACAACTTGGTCGCACCTGTTACGACGGTACCGGATAGGATGGAAGTTTGAAGATCGTGTGTCATAGTCATCGATTGCGGGTTGTCTTTACAGTTTTAGGTATTTTTATTGTTTCCATGGGAATGCGTCGTACATAATAAACATGCATTATTTTTGTGGAGGAGCTCGTACACCATTCTAAACTGTAGCAATTTTCAGTGTTGAAAATTGTGTCCATAAATGTACAGCATTCGAAAAAAAAACCAGGTTAACACTTTTGTGGGCGTGGCTAGCCAGCGCATGGTTGCGGCGTGATTGGTCGGAAGTAATGTGAACCAACATAATACATACATCAACTACACTTCGGTAACTGAAACGGACCTCACTGAATGTGCAATTTCGATTGACATTGGAAAATAATAGATTTGGCTAGTTAACGCTTCTGATGTGAATTAGTACTGGTATGACCAGCTCTACCTTGATTCTGATGGGCTGAGGACCCAACAACATTATTTGCGCTAGAGATTGGTCCAATGGACTAATGGTGGAATCTGCTACAAAGGCACGGGTCGTAAATAGATACAAGGAGAAATTCTCCACCAGACTGAGGTGGTAGGACCCCTTAGTGGAGGGAGGGGAGAGTACTTCCGCAATGCGCGACAAGGGGGCTGATTCCTTCGCTTGCTCGCTGCGACCGCTGCCCTCCTTATCATGGAGAGTGTATACGTAGCGCCTGCACCTTCTCACGTACGATGTGCTCTCTCGCGCCTTCCCTCTAATCGTAACGCTGTCTTTCTCCGTCGTGCCACGGTCGATCTCACAAGAGATATCCCGAGTTTTTTCTATGGTGCTCTTACCTCTTTTCCACTAACGTTTCTTTTGACACCTCTTATCCAAATTTTGAACAAAATAACACACCAATCCGATTGTGCGACACGTGACTTTGAAGGCTGCGATTACGATAAAGAGGGAGCGCATCGGGGAAGCATATGCACCACACGAATCAGTTACTTGGCTGCCAGGGAAGCGAGGTGTGGCGCTTTCACGACGAAAGGTGCGCTGGTTGCTGAGCAGGACTTCGAAAGCACTCCGCCCCCAAAAGCGATCCGCCCACTAGTTTACTTGGTGATTTGGACGAGCTGCGTTGCCAGCAGCGGCACAACTGGAGCAACTCGATTGGAGCGTGGTTTGGCATGGTGTCACCAAACGCGTTGCGATTTATTTTTTATTTACGCGACTCATTTAGAAGATCGCTTTCTGAACTGTTACCTGTTCATGAGTGAAAACCGAGGTCAAAAAAAGGGTCCCGTTTTGCGTTTTCTTGACGGATTTCTCCGCTTTTTTCGCCACTGGCGTACCATGAGCACCACCAGTCTCCTATAAACCCTTCTTGAACCAATCGTATCACTGCCTTTGAATCAAGGCCCACCTTGGAATGAGTAATAGTGGGGCGATCGGAGGCATCAAGACAATCACTGCAATCTTGTGGTAGCGATGCTGACTGTTTCAACTTTATTCAGTAAGTACATACAACTAATTGTGATATGACGGCAATTGTTCACCTAAACAACAATAATAAATCTCAAGTGATGAGAATCTGAGTGGGAATGTGAAGTTGAAGAGCGCAAGGCAACGCTGTCGATATTATCGAATTTTCTCCAGTATTACAAAAGAATAGTCATCTAAAGAAATATTTAAACAGACAAATGCTGCTGTTTTCTCTAACAGAATAGCTGTTCAACCTAGTATTAATTGAAGATCAGCAGGATTTTCACACCGGTTGCGGCAACGACGACGACGATTCGAGTGGGTAGGGGATTTGCTTGTGGGGGGCAGTGTTTCTGCATTAGGGATGAATAGTGAAAGCTCAGCGAAGTTTACAGAAACATCATAAAAGTGCGACAATGTAAGCATATGACACGTCATACAGTAGTAATCGTTTGAAACCTACAGTAAGTGCATAAGGAACTCATTGGTTCCTCATCACTCGAGTACACGAGGGCTGTCGTCCTCACCGAATTCGACGGTTGGAGCACGTGACGACGACGTATTGGAGTCAGGTTTGGGCGTCGTCGGAGTTGGCGGCGCCAGCTGGCTCACTGATGCCAACGATGGGGCAGCTGACTCTTGCTTGATCGTAAAGCGACGTGCTTTCCTAAAGAAGATTTTTATAACTCATCGCTCATTCTCAGCCGTTCTGGCATAGAGACAGGTAGCGCCATCCACCACGCGCATGACCCATGGGTCAAATCTCGAGTTCAGAACATCCATTTCTTCCATTTTTGCGAGGTGGCTCAATGGCTTCAGCCTGATGGGATAAAAAATACTAACTTATCTTTCAAGGCACTCTATTTGATGAAGAACTTTCAAATGCAACTACGATTTCTAAAGAAATTTAAATGCGCCACGCATTTCTGAATCCTGAAGTCGTACACCAAAACGGAACCGATCAACGATGGAACTGGAAAAATCGAATACATGGCGCAACTGCTCATTTCAATGCGAAGTTTCAGCGATAGTGAAAAGGTGTCGAAAATCGGAAGTCGGAAAGCGCACCGGATTGGCATTGCGGCCCTAGCCCGCCTCTCGTCATGCAAAATCTTTATATTATACAATCATTCAGTAAGGACGCCGTGAGATGTCGTCACGTCAAAAATTCGGAAGAGGTGGCTACTGAGAGACGAATTGAGAGAATAATGTGTCAAACAAAGTAATAAAAAAATTGAAAACGAATGAAAAAATGAAAGAATGTGAAGTTGCTCTATTCACCTGCCGGGACTTGAATCCGTTCCTATTCTTCTTGTTGGCGAGACCGAGATTCGGAATCGTCTCGAGGGCGATGCGGATCGTCTTTCGTCGTCGGTTGATGACACGACGGGAGATGCCTCAAAAATTTCATTATTTTTGTGTTTCAAGACGTTGTGACAAGTGCGCCACAATCACGTCCAGTGACAGCGCTATGTGGGTAGAGCAGGATCAACCGCGGTGTGTAGCCGATTTCAGACATATGACCCCCTCCCACTTCCGATGGATCTGGTCTTCAAAATTGGACCATCGCGAGCGGAGAGGGGGTATATATAATTGCCATTTCCAAGAGTCCTCTAAATTTCGCAGAATTTTCTCCGCTCAAAAAAGTTCTCTTCCTCCTTCCCTATAGAAGAACGATACCCTTCGCAAGTCACAAAATATGACCCCATCGTTTGACTCGACCAAACGGGCGGCTGATCTTAAGCAGGAGTGCCATGGCATTTCTGCTACTCTCTACTAGGATAGGTCAAAAGCAAAGGATTTCTAAAAAAAACATGAAAACGATCTTACGAATATTCCTGAGAAACGTCAGACTTCTAAAATTTCTGTAAAAATGCAGTCACATTGAAACAGTTGTGTTAGCGAACCTCAGGTTCAAATTTCCTGTACGGAAGTGTAGTTGGCTTTTTAGGGCTGCTACCGCTTGTGTGTTTGGTGCTTGGACCAGGTTGGTGATGTGAGTGTGGAGTACTTGTGCCAGAGCTTTGGCCAGAGTTTTGCACATGAGTCTTGTAGAAAGGCAGCGGTGTCCTGGAATTTGGAAAGCGAATTGACTTTGTTGGACAAGAAAGCCTTACCAAGGAAGGTCTTTCAGGGCGTGCCAAGCTTTTTCAAAACGGTCTTTTGCATGATATAGGGGCACATGCGGGAACCACAGAACCATGGTTAATTTTTCCTGAACGGCCCTCTGAATACCAGAAAAGGGGTCCCTAGTTCGATTCCTCGTGGTGACAAATTTTTGCATTTCGAGTTGACGTTTCAAAATTGCGCAAAATGTTGGTAGCATTGATAATTGCGTAAAATGTTGTTAGCATTGATAATAAGTGCCATATTCATAGTTAGGACCGTCAATAACCCTGAAAATATTGTGATATCAAAACGGCCCCACTTTGGCGTCACAACTTTTTCACCAATTTTTAATTCAAAGTCTATTTGTAAGGGTTACTGACGGTCCTAATCATGAATATGGTACTAATTATTCATGCTAACTCCATTTTGCGCGAATTTTGAAACGTCAACTCGAAAAATTTGTCACCACGAGGAATCGAACTAGGGACCCCCTTTTCTGGTATTCAGAGGGCCGTTCAGGAAAAATTAACCATGGTTCTGTGGTTCCCGCATGTGCCCCTATATCATGCAAAAGACCGTTTTCAAAAAGCTTGGCACGCCCTGAAAGACCTTCCTGGTCAATAGAGACAAACTTCTTCAGTAGCTGCTCCTTTTTCGATTGAACTTCTTCTATGGAAGGCCATGGTTGGAATGCTGAGTGAGTGCCGTCGGTATTAAAACTGGAAATAGTTTTTCATAAGGATTTATAACTAGTTTAAAATTTTCAACAATATTATCTGTAGTGTATCTTGTAGCCGCGCGCTAAATAATTTCTTGAAACTGCTTAAATTTCTCATGAAACAACTTCTCTGAGAGCTATGCACCTGTTTCCGCTCTTTAATGATGACTGGTTGGTGGGTGTGTTATTAACGCCAGACTTAGCTCGGCGTTCTGCCTCTTCTTCGGATTCCTTCGTGGGTGGTAACCGGTGCACTTCAGCGCGCATTTCTTGACTGTTTCGTGGCCTTTGGGCTGTTATTAGGCTAAACGAAAACGTTGCAACTCAACACGACATCGCTACTGAGTGATCTACGTCTGACTCAACAAAAAAAGTAACTACACAAAGACAGCCGATGAACTCATATCTCTCTTGAAGCCAATTTTAAATTGAAACAAGTTGATAATCCTACTCACTCACTGGTCACTTTCACTTTACTCCAAGTCCTAAGCTGCGCATCATCTTTCAGATGCTGGATGATCAAAGCCAGACTTAAAGGCAGTGATCGCGATGACTGAGGGCGATGCGATTGTTGTTCGACATTAACATTGGTGGACTAAACCCCTCACTAAGGTGTGGTTGGGACGCCTTCTAACGCCATTCCATCAATGGCGTTCAATGACATCCCACATCAACGAAACCGTAATGCCTCCAACTATCGCGATAACTGCCTTTGATTGCCTAAAAGAACATTCTTTGGTTTGTAGAACTTGCGATGTGATCGATTCCAGGCCTCAGCTTCGGAAAGTTCAGTAGGGGCACTCAATGATAGTGATGTAGCTCTGAAAATGCCCACTAGATTGGAGTCTACCCTTCCATTAATGTGGTTGGCGGGTGCGTTGGTGCCTGGGTCTCACTTGTACTTTTGTTCCCGCGTCTCTCCGACGCTTTCTCCTTCGTCACTTTTCAAGCACCCATCGCTGAAAGCTGTGCTGCGTTAGGCAATCTCCAAAAGTCGGCCTTACATGGAGTGTTCAATGGTATCCTTTGCTTTGTCCTAACACCAGCAAGGTGTCATATTCGATACCCCTCTCCTTTTCACTGCTGATGTCCTGCTATCAGGACTTGTACCTTCAAAGCCGACCCCAACAAAAACTAAGGAAGAACAGACGTGCCGAGTAATTATTTTTTGGACGGAACTGGGAGAAGGGATGTCCTGTATGGGATTGCCAGGAGCCCTCGAGAACACCGACTGGGAGCGAGCGCTGAGTAGCGCATATAGCAGCTTCAAGGATTCTGCCTTTAAGATTGGTACGGGAGAACTAGGGTTTTGTTTGCCTTTTAAGAAAGGAACTGCTGAGATGAAGAAAGACAAGTTTCCCAATTACGGCTTGAATTGCTATCTGCTTGACAAAAATTGACTTCTTGGTCCTAATATTAATTATTAATATTATTTTAATTAATTGATTAATTAAATTAATTAAATTAATTATTAATATTATTTTATGTTATTAATTAATATAAAGCATCGTCCACGCTCGCACAACCAGCGTAATGGGGAGTGCGGTCAACCAAATCGTCCGAGTAGCGTTGCCGCGCGCGGACACTACGCGTCGTCGCAACGCGACACCTTTCCTATGGGCGCGACAAGTTACCAAAGTTTAATATCGTGACATTAAAAATAAAAGGAAAGAAGGATCCGTGGGAACTAAAACCATCGGCGCATCGATTGAAACTGTGAGTGTTACAGGGACGGGTTAATAGCAAGAAGTAAGCATGAAACGGGAATTTTTTCTTTCTCGAAAGAAGTCTTTTACAAATGAGCTTCCCAAATGCTTCCTTAGCAAACCGAATGTACCTGTAAGGAATATTGCGCTACTGATGGGACATCATGGAAATGGTAACAAGGAGCGCGATTTGAGTCACATCGGCGATCTTGGTGTTATTCTGACTAAAGTGCAGTGAAGTTTGTGAGTAGTTGTGAATTGTGTTAATTACAGAATCATTACAGCAAACCGAATAAACTCATCAAACTAACTACTATAAAAACTGAAAATGTGGTTACAAAACACACGTGGGAGCTCCGTAGGTGGCATTGTCATCTCGTACAGAGCCGATGAAGTCGTAGAGTGATATGTAGGAGTGTCTCTTGCTTGATCGACGTGAGCTCAGTACCACCGACGATGAAGCTGGCGGACTCTGGACACCACTTTCAAGCAGTGTACCACGCGAACTGGTGATACTCCCGCTACGTGCACCCATTGCTGTGCTCGGCATAATATCTCGTGGAAAACTACGATAACCTCGTGCATGAGGCAGAGCTCTCATCTCGATAAACGGTAGAAGTAGAGCACTAAATAACATGCACGTGAGTATAGGTTAAGATGAAAAAAAAACCAAAACATTGAAAAACGAACAAATTGTTAACATGGACTACATGTACGTGGTAATCATCAAGGATGAAGTGATTGATTTGGCAATTCCAAAACCGGAAATCGAGGATATACGAAGAACTGCAGCTGCTGCACCGGAATGTGCAACATGGTTAGAGCAATTTCTGTTATGCGAGCATGAGTTCGTAGCGTGAAGCAAAGCCCAACTCGGGGGCCCAAAGCCCTGCACCTCTAGACGCTGTCTTCATCCTTGACCATAAGAACTGCGTCATCGACAAAACCTAAGACGCAGTGTTTTGGGGACTCATTCCGGAGTTGGGCCTTGTGCATCCACAGCCCCAGGACGCAGCACGGGGCTGCAACCTACTTCCTGTCCTGACGTGATTCTCAAAAAAAGGAATGACAACGAAAATCGGAACTCGGAACGTGCTCACTTCTTAATTATACCTGATGAACTACAATAAAACAAATAGCTTAGTGAAAAAAATGTTAGAGACATGCAGGAATGGAAAGGAAAACAGGCGCAGAACGACAGATGAAGGGTAAAAGGTAATTTTCAAGGTCATCCATAGGTGAAAAAAATCAAAGTTCATGGCAAGCAACCAGAAATAATGCAGAACACGTTTCTCACCGGACATCATCAGGTGTGGTGATATCGACCACGCTGCCAGGCACTTCGAAACTCTCCGATGGAGATCCATTCCGAGCCTTAACAGGATTCTAGAAATTACTTCTTACGGGGAAATTTTCAAGGTGATCGATTAAGCAAAGAGACAATATAATAGCTTTTTTTGAAGAAAAAGCAGACATTGCTCGAGAACTGCTGCGATGTGGAATGCACAATAGGCTGTGGTGGTTCGTTGACCTGACTGCAGTCCTCCTCTTCTGCTTCTTCTCGTTCGTCCAGAGATCTGTGAAAAACGTTATAATATACAAAATTCTGAAGTGGAGCGTTTAAAGGCAGGAGTCGGTGGCGGGGGGGGGGAGGGTGAATGTGCCTTTCACAAAAATTGCGGGCCCCTAGGAGGGAAACATGGCGTTTTTACGAGCAGAAACCCGTCCATGGCGGCTTAACCTTACCCGTCCTTAGCTTTACCCGTCCATTTGGAGGCCCCCTTCTTGCTTACCCCAACTGCTAGTTCCTTGGCGTCGACTTTAGCTGTTCTAGCAGTGAGAAGGAGCAAGCGTTCACGATTACGACGCCAGCATCAGTGGCAGTGTGAGAAAAAAGAGGAACTACGCACCTGGCACATCGAGTAGTTTTAGAGAAAACCCGATCGCTTTCTCATATCTCAAGAATATAAGAGGAAGTGAAAATCAATCCCAAGCCCAAGCGAAGGAGTGTTTTCTTAAAGGCAGTAACTGCAATGACTGAGAGGCGGGGCCAATTTGGGGGCGTCATTGGTGGGTACCCGACAGGAGGCCCGTCGCGCGGCAAGAAGGCAGAGTCGCGGACGAGTCGCAGCGTGCTGTGCGATGTAGGACGTGCAATGGTACATTCTATTTAACTTGACGCGAAATCACTACAGTACGCGCTGCGACTCGTCCGCTGACTCGGCCTTCTATCGCGCGACGGGCCTCCTGTCGGGAACCCCGTATTTGGTGGAAGAAGCTGCAATTTACAATTCACCCACTCACTAGCAATGTTTGCTTACGGTTGAACGGATAAACTATTCGAGTGCGTCAACTGTGAATTGCTCCGCCTCACAGTCAACACAATCATGCCCTTAAGGAATTGCAGAGCATTCGAATAGAAAAGAAGGGGCAATTTTTCAACAGTCAATCCACTTACCCAAGTGACGGGTGAAAGTGCATTGCGGCTACGGTCTCTGATGTACTGGACGGTACCGGCGCATAGCGTTGTAATGGAACTGGCGACGGTGACTCGTCCACATCTTCTTCCTCACTTTCCGATGAGTCTTCAGCTCGGAGCGGCTCATCATGAGGCTAAAAGTAGGATGTGTATATGGACGACTAATTATGACTCATGGATTGAATTGATAACTTGGTTTTGGGAATTTGCCTTATACTCATTACCCTGAGGATTACTGTAATCAAGTACGGCAGGGTTAGAATAGAAGTAATCGACCATGTTAATGAGTCCGACATTGATTTTGTCAGCCATTCCTCCTTCTAATAAAATGCCTCAATAAAAGTATTACAGTATCTTCATCATAGAAATGGCGTGAACAGAGCACCTAACGACTACACTCGAAAAAAGGCAGTGGACATCTTTAATGCTTTATGGTGCCTTAGTGCCGTCAAACGGGCCAGCGTGGTGTGGATATGGGAGGAAGTGCAGCATACATGACTACTACAACTTCAAATTTGCATGAATCTCGGAGATTTCTCCGAACAGGGTCAACCGTTACGTTGGACCGATATTGGAGCGACGTTGGACCGATGTTCACCGCTCTCCGCGCCGGCATTCACTCTCGCCACCCGCGAGCCGTCTGTGTCTCCGTGCGTACGTTCACTCTCGGCATTACTCTCGTCGTCGCGTTGGACTTTGTCCAACGGACGGTTGACCCTGCTCCGAAACTAGCAGAATTTTCTGAAGCAACACCCCCCAGCAAAAGCCGTCTCTAAAAACCAATACATTGAGTGGAATAGAGTACACTATCACAGGAGTGCCGTTGTCGCGGCTCGAAAGTGTGCGACAACGGCGCTAGAGTCTTACAAAGCTGGCTTGTGGCCACTTATCTAGGTCCTTGGACGAGTTGACTTGGTGGCGCGGTGCTGCGCGATTGCATTCAACTGCAAATCGTTCAATTATTGCATTCCGTTTTTTGTATTGGTGCATATGCGATTGCAGTTGCATTTCTTGCTGGCACGAGCCGGCAACCTAATTCAGACTACTTGTCCTAAATGCTCGGAGTGGGAGTCCTTTTTTTAAGAGCTTATCGGTCATTTTTATTTCCTTCTTCATCTGCAATCAACCTGGCACCCACGGCTTCATCATCGCCCGCTTTCACCCCACCAAATCGATCTGAGGGCGTTGCGTTAAGCTTCCCGAAGTAGCGCCTTCCATATGAAAAGGCTCCTTCCAAAGAAAGAAACACGATCTCCTGTCCGACCAGGCTAGTTGGACGATTGGCCCTAGCAACATGATTACATGCAGTTAGCAAAGACGGCACCAGGCCGGTAACAATGGTTATACACACAAGTCACCCATTCCCAAGAGGTGGTCAACTCTAAAATAAGGCCCAGAAAAAAGTCTGAAACCGTTTTACCTCATTATAAGTCCTCCATGGCTCTCGACGTTGTTGTTCAATAAGTGGTAAGTATTGTATAGCTTTTCTGTGATCCCGATCCCTATCCTGATCGACTTTCTTCTTACCACCAGCTAACTCGAAGATTTTCTTTTTCTCCTCTGTGCGTTCCTAAAGATCGTCGATTTAAAATGATTCACACGTTTTAGGCTTTACTCTAGCATTTATTGCGAGTGCTGCTTTCTTACAAACAATTTCGAAAGGCAATACGGTAACAATTTCATAAGTCAAGCGAGGAATTGGCGGTTTAAAAGACGTTAACACCTCTGGGGGACTCACTACCCCATAATGCAAAATCGCAATGAAGTTATGTAGGATAGGATTTCGACTTTACCTCCCCATGTGATGTCTTCTTCCCTACAGCCTGCGCGCAAGTGGAGTAGTGGCAAATGACCCTTACCACGCCCCGCGCGGTTCGGGGATCAAGTCCCGGGTTGTGGTCCTGACCAACCAAGGCTTCCCTCCTTCCGGGGTCGGTGAAACCCGCAAGTCATTGTATAGGCCACATCGCATTCAAACGCCACTACGAATGTACAAATGGAAGTAGAATGCGTGCCGCATCCCAAAAAGGGATTGATCAACGGCAAATGCTTTATCCTTTTTACAGTGAAGTCGTTTCGAGGATGAAGCGCATGATCAGACTGGGTGTGACTCTTGCGCCCAAAAATGAGAGCAGAGCTGCGAAGTGGACCAGTAGTGAGGGGGTGCCGAACGCTACAATTTAGTTACTAATTTTATTTTGAGGCGCTAAGGCAATCATAGCATGAGAGCGGAGAAGAGCGAATAACCAAGAGGGCACAACGAAGGAGAATGCGCACACACTACCTTGCGGCGAATAGGGAAAAAGAAGCAATTAGCGGTTTTGGGAAGGCCCTAGCGCCCTTGTTGCGCTTTTGGGTCGAGAAAACAGGAAATCGAAGACTTTAGTGAACAGCTCTATCGAATTCATCGAGATTTCTCCAACTAAACTCGTTGTGTGGTACCTTTAGGCGCGACAACAATATCTTGCCTTTTTTGGTTCGCAAGAGGAGGACGAGACCGGTATGTGGGAGCGCAACCAGTTCATGAGATTACTGCATCGTTCAATTTGTCGTAAATACCTTTTTTAATTCACTGATTCATAACTCCATCATCATCGGTAACGAAAGGGAAATACGTGAATACTGGTGAAGGTAAGCTTACATGAATCAGTTGTTGTTGGAGATCCGTATTCGCCTCACGCAGTCCTCTTACCAGAGACACCAGAAAGTATATAATCAGCCTATAAACATTTGAAATGGCAACGCACACTAGACATTGAAGGAATCGTCCACATACATATCATGATTTTATCTCACTCATGAATCACTGGCTTGAGACCTATCATTCACGATAAGAACGAAAAAAAAACGTTTGTTCTGGTGAACATCTCAAAAGAAGTATCTACTGCTAAACTTTCCACTTCACGCCGCACATCTGTCACAAATGTTGACCAAGAGAACGATCCCACTTGGTACTCGGAATTATTTCACTAGGAACTCCGTGTGGACTCTTCCACTTATTGCAAAAACATTTCCCTCTCGAGTGCACCTCATACGATCGTCTCTATCCCCCGGAGCTCGCACGCTTTAACCCGTTTCTGCACGCGTCGCCTGATACATGGTCGCTCCAAGGTGCAATTCCTTCCTAGCGCTCCCTTGTTCCCGCCCGACCTACCTTCGGCCGTCCATGAGTGCGTTTTTCGTAAGTTTGTTTCTCTTCAGGAACGAATCTTTTTGCGTGAAAATCTGCACGTTGTCTCTAGGGATCACAACTGACATGTTCTGATGGGAGAGAATGCGAGAATTTACAAAGAACGACTCCTTTAACAGTTTTCAGTTTATTCTTGACGCGTTCATACTTCGCAATTCTTATTTTTGAGACACTATTTGAAGACCTACATAGTTGTTAACAGCCGAAAAAAATTTAAAAAATAATATCAATGAATTTCAATTTTTCCTATTCAACTTCAGGTGGAACAAACAAGCTTGTATGTATAGATCACAAGAAGTGGCTCGGAAATGAAAAAAAAGCTAGTGGCCGATCCAAAAGCGCTAAACTAATACTACTGGCTAAGGGTTAGCACTATATTGTGTTACAGAATTTAGCGCTTGTTGTCACCAGACTGGTTAGTACTTTCGTGAGGTTATGCTTTTGAGTAATTCAGTGCGATGTATTTGTGTATTTGAAATGTAATTTTAAGGCCTGAAGAAGCTGTTATACAGCGAAAGCTTGCCAATAAAGTGTATGAATGAGCCTTCACTGCTGATTTCTTGAAGAAGAACTACTGGCTAAGTAAATATAATCGTACATTTACCCTACAACTTTTAGAACTTCTCTAGTAACCCCTATTGGAGGAAATCAAAAAAATCAGCAATGATTGAAATTACTCACATTAGGAAGAGCAGTATAGGTATGACCACCCCTGGTGAGGCGATATGGCGAATGTATCCGAGAAGGAACGGATCCACACGTTTCTCTATCTCCTTTGTGATCACAGTGTAGAAATGGTCGTGTTGACTGAAAAGTCTCAAGCGATATCAAAAAAAAGTTTAAATCCAACGCTCGCCTCCCCCCCCCCTGGAGCACTGTTTCTGCGACCACTTACGCGAAGGGACCACATCTTCTAGATGGTCGTGTGGAAGCGATGACAAAGCCAACAGGTAATGTACAAAGTAGTAACCAAAGCAGCAAAATCAAAAGGTAGAAGTTGCTCGACCTGAGAAATGATAATTTAAAGCAAGGATAAGTTTATATTCTATAGAACACGCTTTCATTGACCGGGACAGAATGGAGTCAATGCCAATGAGAACGATGACATGGAGAGAGAGGCAAGTTGGAGACGTCATTGGTGGGGACCGGTCTGACCGGGTGTCCCCCAAGAGGCCCATCGCGCGGCGAAGGAAGAGACGCAGATGCGGCAAAGGACGAGTCGCAGCGCGTGCTGTGCGATATGAGACGTAGTATGGTACACTCTCTTTAACCTGACGCCTAACCGCTACAGTATGCGCTGCGACTCGTCCTTTGCCGCGTCTGCGTCTCTTCCTTCGCCGCGCGATGGGCCTCTTGGGGGACACCCGGTTCGACCACATACCTATCGCGCTAGGATATTGGGTCGGACCGCCTCCCAACGCTCCTCCACCAATGAAGTCATTCTACTGCCTCCGCCTCCCGCGATCGCGTTTGCTGCCTTTGAGGAGTAATTCTGGATTCGTCCCAATTTCAAAAAATAGGCTTTCGAAAGACAGCTATCCCGGATTTTCGAAAATTCGGGATTGCTATGATCCTATCGATCTGCCGCTCAACTTCATGAGAGGATGTTTGTAGGAGAAAAATTAGAAAAAAAAGTAAATTTTTTTCTCGAATTTACTCAACATTCTCTGAGAACCGGAGCTCACCGGAAAACCTACTCACCTGCTGGCGCAAAATATCTCTCTGGCCGGAACATTGCATGTCATGACAGCCCAGCCACGAATATACATAATTATTACTAGTTTAATATTATTTAGAGCCGGTAGCAACGGCGTGAAGAACAATCCAACCAGATCATTCCCTGATTGTTGATGATGTGCAGCACGTTCTCGGCCACTTTGAACTCACCGTATTCTGGCTGAAAAAATTTGAGATGAGAGAGCCTTTCAAAACCTTGTTATATACCTTCAGTATATTGAACTTGTTCTGAAGACTAATATGGTTCACAATAAAGGACAAAGGAAAAGATTCTGCCTGAGCAAACGTTTTTGGATGCGGCCACGCATTCCTCCATTCATGAATCGTTATTTGACTTTTCGCTTTGGCATAGAATGACAGTTGCGAGTAGCGAGTAGTACGAAGATCGTGTTTTATTACCTCAATACAAGTTTTTAGTACAAATGACATGTGTGAGGAATGGAAACTGGTTGGACGCACTAATCAGAATCGATCCCCGAGACGCGTGCGTGTAACGAGCCCTGAGCATACCCCACATCCGCCTCATGTTCACATTGGAAATTACAAATTCTCACTGATAGAGCTTACAATCAAAGAGAAAAGTATATTCGACACGCTTTTCGATATTGTTGCTTTTTGCGAGTCGTCGGGGCTAGGTTTGCACCGGAGTCTCAAGGTGTCAATCATACCCCAGCGAAGAAGGTGGATGTCGAAGAGAATTTATTCTGTTAGATGGAACAGAGTAGCCCGAAGATCACTAATATGTGCCTGCTCGCGTCTGGAAGAGTGTGTTGATTAATGCTTACAATTCGATTCGGAGGAGATACAATATGGAACGTGTGCGACGAGAATTTCTACACCACCCATGATACGCAGTGTGGAATCGCGCGTAGTGCGCCAACCTCCTATATACGCCAGAGTTACAGTTCAAAAGGTCGTCCTGTCTGCTCTTCCTGATTTCAATAGGAGAGAAGGTAATATTCGTGTGTAGCTTCATCCTAGCTTGCTTCGGTTATTTCATTCATTCAGCCCAGGTTTCGAATCGACATTTCGTATCGACCATTGATAACCACCAATGTGTTATTGGTGATTTTGCGACGAGTTCAGTCATACTTACGAGTTCACTCTCATCACGCTTGGTGCCAAAGAGGTGACTGTGAAACGGGAGGTTGAGTGACTTTGAATAGAAAGCAGCTTCGAGATGAGAGAAAAACTTGCGGAAGAAGTGGTTTTCGCATTTTATGAAAACTGGTCCACACCTCAGGACTCCTACTCCTCCCTTGGCATAGGCCGAAATCCTTGCCCCTAGACCGACTTAAACGTTACCTAGCAAATTGCCTCCCCCTTTTGGGTAAACAGCGTCTGAAGATAAACAAAGCACTCAAAAAGTGAGGTTACCAGATCGATAATTAAGGTCACTCACAAATGTTGTTTCAATATCCCAACACCACCAGGCCGAGCAGTACTTGATCCAAAGACCACGAAGGAAATCTATGACCAAAATCGAGACAATTGTCACAATCAAGTCCATAGTAACGAGTTTAACAATTTCCTGCAATCATTAACCTTTGTAGATGTTCAGCAGCACTTCTGCACAAATGTGTTCAAGTAGGTAATTTTAAAGAAAATCTCACCTGTCCGATTATTGTTTCCCAGCAAATGTCGCTGTTGTAAACCTCGTCGGCCGAGCTTTTTCGCTCTGCAGCTGCTGGTAATCGCATTGTTTCTGAATTACGAAAACAATATCGCTCGTGGGCTGTATACGCTGATTTTTTGAATATAGTAGGCGCTAAATGTATGTACTAATGCCCACTGTTATGATGTCACGAGAATTGAAGAAAATCTTGAGTCAGGGGAAGAATATCCAAATCAAGGGGGATGAGGGTAGTCACCAAGCATGTGTGGAAAGCTGGAATGTGCGAATTACTCCCATAGAGTCTCGCTACGTCGGAACCCACTACGTCATAGCAGTGGGCACTAGTCCACACATAGTACATTTCGCGCCTATCGTAATCGAAAAACCAGCATGCGCGGTTGACGGACTACTTGAACTCAGCCCTTTACCGCCTCTGCGCTCTCTAGCGGGTCCCTCTCCTCTCCAAGGCTTAGTCCTAGGGCATTCTCTAATCGTCTGTGCTCTAGCCATCGCGGCAGGACCATTGAGGAAAAATCAAGTAGTCCGTAAACCTGGCATTGTGAGGACCTCAT